GAATATTTTCTCAGCTTCCAAGGTGTACCCCAGGCATGTTATATATACTGTGTAAATTGTATGAATAATAGTTTTGTCCTATTTGGGATGATTTAATTCTGCTATCCCTAACCGCCTACCGGCTTATACATTTTCATAATAAATAAGTACAATTTTAATATCCCAACCTCATATTTCAATACCTTTAATTAGAAAATGGACTGTAAGTTTAAAGTTGAATATTGTGAGCTACCCTAACATTCTGAGGGGAACACCTACAGTTTACTTCTTCACAAAGTATCTATCTCTCCAGGAATGAACCTTGAAGAGGCTTCTCCTTCTATAACTTATCACACAATTTGCTACTTCTAGACTTTCCTACACAGGATAGAGCCCAGGTGGCTGACACTTAGTTCACTTGTGATAGACACAATATTTTAATATAAATTTCATTTAAAGAAAGTTGTTTTATTACTCCAGTTAAAATTTTGCTGACAAAAAAAATCTGATTTTTTTATGATCAGTTTTTTCAAAAGTGATGGGGTAAATTATGTATCTTAAGTATTGAGTTTTTCAATCATATAATTTCTGTGCCCCTACTAGGAAAAAAACAATTTGTGAATTTTTCTATTGTTTGTGATTTCTTCAAGCGCATGTGGGGAAAAAAGTGTCCCCCTCCCAAAAAAATAGCTTAAGGTATGGATTAAATATCATGTTTAAGACCTTCAAATATTTTTATATAAAGGAAAACACACAGGACAATTAATGTCATTAGCATTGCCCATTTTTCCTGATACCCCTAATAATCTCTTCTGTAAAGGAAAGTCTAATCCAGACTTAAAGAATTTATTTCCAAATTTTTCCCTTATGAAGACTAGTAAATCTGGTATCTAATACAAATTGAGTTTCTATTTTCAATTCCACCTAATGATTAACTCAGGTCTCAGATTTTCTCAGAGGGTCCAAATCTTAGTTTAGAATCTTTATGGTAGTAGAGATTATTTTCAGTAGGATCCATGAATCCAAAATTATCTCTGACCACTCAAAACAAAACTTGCCAGATCCTTCTGAATTTAAAACAATAACAACAACAAAACACAATAAGCCGCAATTTAACATAGGAAATAGACTTTACTGAAAGGTGCAGTTTGAGAAAAGATCACTGTAGATAAGAGGGGTAATAAACTATTTCTAAGGATAAAACTATATTTCCAGAGAATTCTGAAGCTCAAGAGATCCCAAACGGGGTCACGGCGAGGCCTTACTTAAAGTTTCAAGTCAGATTATAAGTGGAGACAAATTCTACCAATGTTTGAAGCAGAACGATTATAGTTGTTAACAGTTTCTGATAAAATGTGCATAATTTTGAAATATTCCAAATTATAAGAATATCAAGGTTTCATATGTTTACATATTGGTGAGCACAATAAAGTTTCTAAAAGACAATGTCTTTGTTTTGTTTTGTTTTTCTGTGGGTTTGATAAAAATACCCTAAAAAAGTATAACATGAAAAATTTTTGCTACTTTCTAGATTTTAACACCTTCATGTTAATTTCTGCTAAGAATCATGAATCATTTTTCCAAACTATGATTTAATGTGGTGCATTTTTCTCTGCATGAATTCATAATTCAAGTGTATGATTATCAGGTTATATGAAGACAAGAAATTTGCTGCAAAGAGCAATAAAGTTGCAAAATATTAAATTTAAGATGAAATACGATTTAAAATAGAAAACCAAGATGCAGACATCTAACAAAATAAGAAGTTCACATGTAGATTGGAGAGATTGCACATGCAAAATAAATTCTGGCATCAACAAAACGCAAAACTTTATTCCTAAATTCTCATCAGGATTGAGGGCTACGAGAAATTGAGATGTGACTAAAAAAAGCAACGTAGTAAAATTTGAACAGAGAACATAAAAATGTTCTATAGCCAGGGCTCCTGTGGGCAATAAGGTAGTCATTTCACACAGTCTTTCCTTAAAAAAAAAAAAAAAAAAAAAAACACTCTAGCCCTAAGTACAGGGTTCTCCAGAGGCACAGTCTTCCTTCTCCCCATGGGGCTTAAGCTGTGGACCCTGCTGGAGGGTTCTTCTGCCATGCTATCCCTATGTCATGCTTCTACAGTGACTTGAGGTCTCTGGATACAGCACACAGCACAAACACACATTCATGCATCCTGCCAGATCCATGGCATGATGTCGGGCCAGGCTTATGTTTTCTCTCTCCCACAGATGCTGCAGTGTTTCCAAAACAGGGCCAAGCAATCCCCTCGCTCTCCTGATAGCCTGGGAAGATTCAGTCTACTGGCGGCAAAGGAGTCCAGCCTCTGTACCACAGTGGTGTCACAAATAATATCTGATTAGGGAATGTCACAGTTTAAATGTTCTTTGTTTGATCTTCAGAAGAGAGAGGGCTTATCTCGAAAGGGGGGAAAAAGTGACTTGACACAACAGATTGTGACAGATTTATTACTATTTATCATGGTAAATATGTATCGAAGAAAACACATAAATGTCTTTATCTAGTCATAATCACTCCAAAAGAAACCTTTTATTATCCCCAATCTTTTCGTATCTGTTATACAAATACTCATACATATTGAAACAAGTTTTAGAAGTATCTCTTATTGAATAAATATTCATAATTTTATTTGAGCTTAAAAAGAGAATAAACCTGGCAGAGGTCTAAAATTACAGAAACATAGATCTACTGGGGCAAAAGTGTTAGAGTATCTAATATAGAGTGTTTTGTGGAATCGAGTTAAAATGTATATTTTGTGTGGTGGTAAGGTGTGGATCTTGTTATAAGTAATAAGCAATCAATACATTCAGCAAAGCTAATATAAACTAAGTTAAATCAATATTAAAAGATCTAAGATATTTTTAAAGTAATGAATAGATGATTGGATTCTAAAATTACCCAAAGTATCTTCTTCTTGCTCAAAAAAAGAAAATTTCCATTTTTAATTGAAGTCTCCTCCTTCTTGTCTTTCAAAAAAAAGACTATTTACTGAAATGTTCCATAAGGACCATTTAAAACATTTAGCCAAGATAAATTCTCTAAGAAGAGTAAAACCTAAACTGACCAACAAAAGCCAAACATTAAATAATACGAACCAAATTTCCAATTCCTGAGTTTTATTTATGGGAAATAAAGGAAAGATCACTTTTATATTTCTGAACATATCACAACATACGAGCAAAACATAAATGATCTTAATAGCAAATAAAAAACTGTACTACTAAAATGTTCTACAGGGGCCAGTTACCTATAGGGAAATACTTAAAAATTTACAATAAACTATGAGAAGTTGTTGACAATGATTAAACATATAGATAACATTTAATGCCACACCAACGGTACTCCTTATAAATTGTGTAGATTTCTACATAATTTTAGAATTGGAAAAAATTAAGTTAATTTTAATATGAGGCATAAATAGGGTACGATAGCTTTAAGTTTTTCAGGGCTTTTATAGCATAGATTATCTATCTTTTCAGAACATTCAAAGGTCCACTTAATGTATTTAATATTGTCTGTCTTAGGTTCAGGCATGCTGAAAAGTCAACAGCTGTGAGGACTATATCATTTGAAGTTGTCATAAAAGCTATTAAAAGCTAAAGTTTCATCTACATTAAATCCACCACTAACTTCAAGCTTAAAATACATTCATAAAAACATCTGAAGATATAATTCAATTTCAGTACAACACAGAAATCCAAAGAATAAAGAATTCAGTACATTTTAAGTGACTTACTGAAAGTCCAAAATCACTATTTTATATGCCATTGGCAGTTTTATTTACACAATATTTTTCCATATTTATGGATAATTTTGTGACGTTTCTTCAACATTACCAAGTCTGTAGTAATCAACATACAAAATTTGCTTTTTTTCCGATAAGACTTATTTTGATACATTTGTTTAATAATTTTTAAAACTGAAATCAAGTCAAATGCACAGGTGTTTGTATTAATCTAATCTTAGTTCATTTGGAAAACCAATTATTCATCTAATTTATTAAAAATGAAATAAGACTAATATATGAGCATGAACTGGTAATAAATTTTCAGAAAACTAAACATAATTCTATTTTAATATATAAGAACTTATAGTTTGGATCATTAGCATTCTTTTTGAAGAAAACTAGTACCCCACAGAATTAAAACTTTCTCTATATATATATCACAGGAAGGAAGAATGGAAAAAAGGAAGAAGGAAGGACGAAATAAAGAAAGAAGGGAGAAAGTCATTATTTTTGTTTTATGTAAAGAAAAAATTACTAGAGATAGACGAGTCCTCAACAAAATGAAATTATCTAGGAACTCAAATTTGAAAATATATGTAAGAATTCAAAATAAGACATCATGTATTTAGTTGTGATCAAGACCAACTTTTGCTGTGTTGGGGACTGGCAGGGCCTCAGCAACTCCTGCATATAGCTGCAGCTACTGAAAAGACCCAGAATGCTTTTGGTTACATCTGGATTCTTCAAGTAGTCACCTGGTATTACAGACACAAATGGCTATTGATGCAGCTACCTCTGCAGCCTTTATTCAGCAACCCCTCTAGAAAATAGAGACATTCTCCCTGCACTCTGGGCTGAAACCCATGTAAATTTTTCCTAAATCCTCTCCACAAATCTCTTTTCGCATGCAAATCCATAAATCATCATAATACCGACAAAGAATTTAACCAACACACGAAACTAATACTCATTCTCTTGAAAGCCCTGTACAGGTAAAACTTCTCAAACTCCAGGCACATTTTCAAGGCTCTTTTCCGAGCTTAACCTGCTGAATATCAACATCACCACCCAGGTTTCCAGGATGTGCAATTAATCACTCCAACGTGGGGTCAGGTGGCTGGATGCGCAGGTCATTCCTACCCCATCCACATTCTAGATAAACACACTGCTCTGGGCACAGAGAACCTCATTTCCTTCTATCTTCTTTGCATCAATACAAAACAGAACAAAATAAACAATATACAAAGCAGAAACAAGCAGTACTTACTGAAGATGGTAAACCTGGAGGAACTTTTCGAACTTTCTTTGTCTGTACCTCTGAAAAAAAATGAAGACGCTGTGAGCGTCTACACACCCAGTTTCCTAACTAACATATATTAAACCACAAAGCCATTTAGATTAGACCAGATTTTCTTAAATCGTTACCTAAGCAAACTGTGGTTACCACAGCAAACTATAGTTTTACCATTATCACCCTTTATTCTTGCAGAAATCAAATTCTGCTTTGTTCATAAAAATGAAGATATTTAACTTTTTACTGTTTGGTTATTTAAAAAGGTTCCTTATGCATGCAGCCAAGAGAAACCCAGAAATAAGCACACACCAAAAAAACCTCTCCTGCTACTATAAGTTGCTAACATACCCACCCAGTGTATTACTGGTAGGAGTTGCCAGGCTGACAACTCAGCCAAATTTTATGGTTTGGCGGGGGGTGGGGGTGGGGGTGGAGGTGAGGGAGGGGGATGGTGAAAGGGGAGTATTTAAAAAAAAAAAAAAAAAGATTAGACCAGATTTTCTTAAATCGTTACCTAAGCAAACTGTGGTTACCACAGCAAACTATAGTTTTACCATTATCACCCTTTATTCTTGCAGAAATCAAATTCTGCTTTGTTCATAAAAATGAAGATATTTAACTTTTTACTGTTTGGTTATTTAAAAAGGTTCCTTATGCATGCAGCCAAGAGAAACCCAGAAATAAGCACACACCAAAAAAACCTCTCCTGCTACTATAAGTTGCTAACATACCCACCCAGTGTATTACTGGTAGGAGTTGCCAGGCTGACAACTCAGCCAAATTTTATGGTTTGGCGGGGGGTGGGGGTGGGGGTGGAGGTGAGGTAGGGGTATGGTGAAAGGGTAGTATTTAAAAAAAAAAAAAAAAAAGGCAAGAAAAAGACCAATAATAATCCGTCAGACATTCAAAGAGAGGAACACCTTACCCATGGCACTACTGTGAAGAGGCCTCCTTCGGGGATTATTGCTAGAATACTGATAGTACTGGGAACCAGGTTTGGTGGGCGAAAGGGTTCCTGGGTTGCCCATATCCATGTCACCTCCAAGGAGACTCTGCTAAAAGGTTGAAAGGGAAAACAAACATATAGGTTAATTTTTCCCATTCACCACCCCCCAACTGATTGTTAGTACTTAAACCTATGTAATAAAGAAAACAGCATCTGCTAAGTGGAAATAATTAAAACAAAATGAAAACCAAAAAGAAAAACACTCTAGGAAACTATCACAAAGTTTGTGAATTTTTAATTCTTTACTTTTGAGAGGAAGAAAGACGATGATTCCCTAACAATATTTTTAAAAAATCTTTTAGGATGACTAACATTTTAATTTCATAAGAAAATGGCATTTATGTAAGACAAATGTTTTCTTTCTGCAGACATAGGCTCATATCTGGGAACTATTCATGCCCTTCCTTAACAGGAACCAAGAAGAATCTCATTTTCCGAACGCACACCACTTCCCCCGGCTGCTCACAACGGGGGTGAGTGCAGTCGATCAAGTCCACTGAGATCCCTGCCTCTCTGTACCGGCACATCATGATCCTCCCCGAAGTGACACAGCACCCACAGAAGAGAAAATGCCAGCTGAAATCAAATCCGCACACTAACTTTCCAAATTATAGAAATAGGCATTCTAAGCTAACAGGAACAAATCAAAGGACTTCAGCATGCTCTCTGAGGACTACCAGAGGCTAAAACACATCCTCACAGATTAAACATTTACCTGAAAACTAGAAAACTTTAAAAAATATCATTAACTTATCATGGCGTGACAAATCATTGAACTTTCAAAAATGATGACATAAGATTATATAATCATATTACATTTTCTAACAACTACATAGAAACTTACCCATAATATATAAATCGCCTGATTATACTCTGCATAGAGCACATTGTTCTTTTAATTATTCTGATACGCAATAAAACAAGTGTAGATGGTACCATTTATATTAAGAACAAATTTACTGTTTAATAAAGAAATTTTAAAATTAAGTACCAAAAATCTAACTTTATCGTTACTTGTAATCAACTTTTACTGACTGAACTAATTACTGTCCTTGATAAAGTACAGAATGTGTTTTCCCTAATCTAAATTCTAATCACCATGTCACTCACAACAGACTTAGGGATGCTTCACTAACACACTATTCACATGCAAAATACTCTAAATAGGCCAATTATGACTCTGCCCCTGTTCCCTGGTTAACCCGCTGAGAACTGAAAAATTTCACAAGGCAGTCACCAACTAAAACAAAGGGTCCTTGTTTTAAATTAAGACAGTCTTTTTGATTCCTAAATAGCTCAACAAAGTGGCATGTCTTCTACTGAAAGCAGTTGGTCAAATATGACCCATAAGCTGGAAAATCAAAAATTCAAACCTCCCCTTTCCACCACCATATAGCTAAATATCATAAAGGGAACCTCTCCATTCTCAGGGATTTTTGAAAATGTTGGATGAGTAATATATAAAGGACTAATCAGTTACTGACAAGACAAGCTCGCCTTCACTGATTCCAGTTTGAGACTTTTTCAAGGGATACAGAATAAACGTTACTTAATAATAAAACTTCAAGGATGAGAGTTTAGGTTGAAAGCACATTTTAAGTAACAAACTCATTTCTAGTATCTCAATATTTACCACATATAAATACCTGATAAAAACCAGGTTATTTACTGGATAAAAACTGAACATCTGTATGATCAACTAATGTCTCTTCTGAACTGAAGATAGTAAAATGTTACACAATGACAAACTAAAATATAGAGCTCGTTATTATGAAGTTTTCTGTAAATCAAGAATCTTAAGAGTATAACATCAAATAATTTTTATCATTTTAGCAGTGGCATTCAAAAATTTTCGAATCTCAACCTGCAATTCTTATTAACAAAGTTTATATTTATTTAAGTCCTACTCCAAGTTTTTTTTGAAATTTCCATCAATAGAGCTGTGAATAATTTGAAATCACAATATCCTTACAGTTTGGTAAATCTACACGAATCTTCATTTCATTGGAAAAAGGAGTTTGAAAATGATATCACTGATAACTTTGTATTCGAGACACACATTACTCCTATTTCTCCCTTTTTTCATATACAAAATATTCAGAAAAGGGCTGAGCAAATACATTGAAATGCTTGCTTCTGTTTTTAAATAAGCTTAACCATTTGGTTAATTCTTGTTGGTCCTGGTAGCAAAGGTTTCCACTCCCAAGAAGGTAAATGCATTCAATAGGTCAGCCTCAAAACGTACACACTTGCTATAGTGTGTTTTAGCAGCATTCACAATGGAGCTGTGAAAAATATAAAATGATAACTGAAATACAGCTAACTGGTTGTAGCTGACCTTATTGTTAATTTAAAAGAAAATCATTTCATGGGCCAGTACACACTTGCTATAGTGTGTTTTAGCAGCATTCACAATGGAGCTGTGAAAAATATAAAATGATAACTGAAAAACAGCTAACTGGTTGTAGCTGACCTTATTGTTAATTTAAAAGAAAATCATTTCATGGGCCAGTTGCAAATAAATCAAGTATCCAGCTCTTGCATATGAACCCACATGAGCTATGTACAGTAACACAGGACTAAGACCAGATAGTGGCTCAAGCTAATCGTTTTTTGTTTTTGTTTTTTTTTTTACTAAACACATTCCTGCTTCTTTCCTTTTAGGCTGTTTGTTCCTTTTTCTTTTCCACTTGGACAATAGAATCATTCTCCTAAAGCAACAAAAATAAACATTTCCTAACATTTGAGGAGGCCCCAATCACCCCCTTAGGGAGACTGAAGGTAATAATATACGTGTTCTTATTGTAGAGTATACGTGTAGAATGAACAATGACCGTTTACTATTGTTTATCCTTTACGTCACACACTCAACTCCCTGTGGCAATGAGAAAGATAAAATATTTTCCACTAGCTTAAAAACCTTAACTTATTAATTTAAAAAAGTTAATGGCATTCAATTTAAGGTAAATTAAAGACTGTACAAAATGGATAAGGCATTCATTTATATAGGAATTTACCTACATGTACTACAGCTCTGAAGGCAAACATATGCTTAATAAAAGTTAACTTTAAAAGCTAAGTCTATTTTTCAAAATGGGCATATCCATCCTTGCCTGAAATAGTACTATAAAGCTTTTAGGTTTTTTACATTGTGCAAGCTCCTGCTCTGCGGTTATGCTGGGTCCCAGTAGTAAGCTGCCCGAGTCAGCCAGGAAACACCAGAAGCAAGATGTGGCATCTCTCAGAACTAACCTGTAAATCTTAAACCTATTGTTGAGCACTTTGCTTAATTGTCCACAACATGATGAGACAAACCCTTCCTCCTCTTATTCTCTCCTCTTTTCTTCCCAAGGTAAACAATTTCAAGATTTAAAATACCTTAACCAAAGAATAAAATACACTGACTTTGCAACCCAGACTTAAAAGTTTTGGGGTTTACCCCCTTCAGTCAATTCTCTGGCAAAGAATTGGTCTTAATTTAGCCATTCAAATGCCAAATGCAGCATTCTGTGAGGTTCTCTTTCAATTAAAATTTTTGTTTGTTTTATATCAGATCTGGGTTTCAGACTTTCTAACACATTTTCAACCCTGCCCCTTTTCTTTTTGGGGGGAGCTTTTTAACATCCTCATTAACCAGTGAACTTGGCTTATGCAACCAAGAATGCAAACCATGAATTAAACTTGAGGAACAGAAACGCAGCATATATCTCAAATTAGATTTATAACTGAATGGTAATCAAAAATAGAACTAACTGCTTGAAGCTTAAATTATCAACTTTTTTCTTGTTAAACTAAAATCATCTTGCTCTGAACTATTATTTCATTTCAGTCAGCACTTTAAATGTAATGGGTGGGTGGTACATTTCTAAAAAAGAAGATTATATTTACCCTTAATTATAGATATGAGTGAGATAAGAGTACGATGAATGCTGTTTTGGGGCTTATAATTAATTCATCTAATAGGTGAATGACCATGAATTTCAGAGTTGGAAACTGGGAGAAGAAAAAAAGAACTTGGGGGAAAAAAATCTCTGGGGAAAAGCAAATGTGCCCCTGGTTTCTTAGGGCTTTCTCTGATTTTGCGTCACTCCCATTACGTTGTGATCCGATATCAGACACAACATCTTGGGGGGATGTTGCAGAACAGAGAAAAGCAGTCTCAGATGAAACCAGATTAAGCTCCTTTTCTGAACTATTGCCAAATGCTTGTGAGTCTAATTCATGTTTGGGTATTCTAGTACTCACACAGCTGCAATTCCATTCTTTCATCACAAACCTAAGTGATGTATAGTGGCTTTGTGTGGCAAACTGACTCTATAAAGCTAGGAATTTTTTATGTTAATACAGAAATAAAATTCTGAACCACTATAAAACTTATGAACACTGGATATATGTACAGGTGCCTGTTAAACTTTGCAGTGTTAAGTGCAAAAAACACGTTGAGAGAAATTACAATTTAGATTTGTTTAAAACACTTTTTATCACAACCGAGGTCATTTCTACATAGCTAATTCTGCACAGAATCGGGTTTCCAAAGACACTGCTGAATAAGATTCCTAACAGCCATGGGGAAGTTTTTGCAAATCCCTGTCGAATAGCTGCTGCTGAATTTGCTGTTTTGACCACGGAAGGGCCATTGCTGACTTACTATAGTAGCAGGAGGGGGTGATAATTTTGCTGCTGTTGGCACTTACTCTGCAACCTAGAATATATCTCGCACCAAAGGGCAATGAAGAACACAATATTTCCACCTGTCCACTTTTGAACGTCAAAGCTCAAAACTGTAGGTCACTTTTTAGATAGTCTTTATTCCTGATCCCCAAAGGTCCAGGAATGAACCTTCATAGTTTATTTTGATTTCTGTCCTATGCTTGGTTTCAACAAAGAGGACTCAGGAAACTTAGAAAGACGAGATGGCAAAGATAAGTTTCATAATCAGAGACTTAACAGATTGTTATTGTGCTGCAGAGAAATACAAATTATTGAAATTATCATTTAGCAAATTCTTTTAAGGGCTTTTGGTCAATGTTTTTTATTTGTATGTTAAAT